GAGTTTGGTTAGTTTAATTTATACAGATCTCGCCGCAGTGATTTTCCAATAATTTTGACTCACACTGTATATGTATTATACAACATATCGAATAATATTTTTGATAATTATAATTTAATGAGAACCTACTATATGCACCCACATTTGCAGTGTTTACGTACATGTTATAGTAAAATTATAATGCCGAAAAATTTAAATCTACTGTATGTTCAGAATTAACTAAATCGAAATTCGTTATTTTTTCTGAAGAAAAAAAAGAGTGCACTTTTTTTGTCTATAAATAGGTCTATTGTAATTTAAGATACCGAGGATTTAGTTAATGTATTCATTTGATCTTTCTTCATCTTGTCTCGTTGGTTGTATCGTTAGAGGTATTATCATTATCATTATTCATTTCGTCTATATATAAATCGCCGACTTCATTAACATTATTAACGTTTGAATCGGATAGTTCAAGTAATTGATCAACGGCTTGGTTCATACGCCATTCATTACTCTGTAACACATCTTCACATATATCAGGATCCATATTAGGAAACATTGATCTGAGGGTAGCAAGTGAGGTTTGAAGCTCTACCTCAGAAGCACGAGCAACCTCTTCTTGCAAATCAGAAAAATCAGTTGATTCACGCGATGTATGTGAGGTACGTGAAGACCGAGAAGAAAAAGAGAAGGAACGTCGAGCCGCTTGAATTGTGGTTCCCTCGTTGTCTGATGATGAATGTGAACCGTTCATCAGCTCAACATGTGGAGAATGTCGGTGAGGTGAGACGCTCCTTGAAGAAGAATTGGAGATTGCATCTAATGAAGGAACATTGTTTGTCGGATCATTCATCTCATTATTAATCTCTGAAAATATTTTTCCAACGACGGATAATGGCTTTTGGAATGTCCATTGAGCAAGCATATTTCCTCCCTTTTCGATCAATACCTTAGCTTGCGCTGTGTTTAAAAGCGGTGTCTTTAAATTTGATGGATGCTTAGAAGGATGAATCGCATTGTCATAATTTACCATATCTCTAGTATTATTTTCTTTCAGTTTTGGTCGTTCACGTTCTAATTCCTTCATCGTACTTTCGATACATCTAATGATAGAAAAAGACATTTGTAAGGATAATGTTAATACTGCACTATTAAATTAAAAAACATACTTATCGAATTCTTCTTGTGATATAGTAAGCGAGGACGCATCCATATTTTCAATGAATGAGATTGCTCCCATCTGAGTAATTATTAAATAGCATTAGGAAATTAAATAAAAAACACTTACAATTAATTATACTTACCAGACTCGAAAGATAATAACTTGATTCAGACTGTAATTTCTCTGGATTTCTAAATCGAGAAATGTACCTAAAAAGTTCATACAATAAATTAAGAATATGTTCCTATAAGGACCGAAAAATAACTAACAATAATATGCTTACTGAACGTTGGAAACCAGATGTTCTGGGTTGGCTTTTAAAACAACGTAGATAAGAATGGGTAGAAATTTATCGGCACCCTCTTCACCATCCACGTGCCTTATTAGACCTTAAAAATAAATAATAAAAATTGAATAAAAGATAATAACATTATGATAATGAATAGGTACACTTCTCTAATATATCTTACCAAAAATGACTTTGCAACAATTAAGGATGCAAATAAGTTTATCCCGAGGGGCTTTAAAATCATTTATCTTCAACAATTCTGAATCAATTTAAAAAAAAACATGTATTATAATAGCAGTAAATAATCGTATTATATTAAGAAGAAATATAATAAATGTACCGCTCTTTGCAAATTCAAGAAATTGCTCTTGTTCATTGTGTTGAGCGGTAGGTATGTCCAGATGTTTTTCCTTTATCCATCTAAATATCTGAATTTTTTGGTGCAAAATTTCATCTTTCTCTTTATCATCGGTAGTGACTGGTCCTTGTATTTCAGGAGAAAACGTTCTAAGAAATGATTATTAATAAATCGTTATTATCATATATTTTTTTTTTGAATTGTATTATATATATATATGTACATACAATTTATATAATCGATTCATAATTAATTTTTCCATTCCTTCCTTTGCATATTCAAATTCAGTATCAGATACACTGTGCCATACTTCGCATTCACGCATTTTCACAGAGACACGCTAAAAAATTCATTGTTAAATCTAATTGTTAGGACAATTGTAAAAAATAATGTATAACTCAAGGATAAAAATGAGTATGTTGTTGAACATACCTCTAAAAAATTAGTAACATATTTAACTTGTTCATTGACCGTTCTGGTCTTGCGTTCAAACTCTTGTTCAAAACTTTAGATTTTAATCACGTGTTATTGGAATGACGATACATAACATAACTCTCCAAATCAAAGATAACTAGTACTCACCTTTTGACATAACGGGCGATTGGTTGTGCACTTGGATCTCTCATTTGTCGAAGAAATATTCCATAATCAAATGATTGTTGAGGTGATGTTTTCTCTGTCGACTCTCTTTGCTTTGCAACGTTGTCGGAAACATTTCGTGTGGCGGATTCCCGAAAATATGATTCGCTCTCCTTTTTACCTTGAGATAATCAACAGGATATTTAGGCAACAGATTCTTATTTAAGCAAACCATCACCATAATAGTATATTATACCTCTTATATTATTGTTATTATTAGGTAATAAATTAGATTTTTGGAAAAATGGAGAAATAAAAGATGTTTCTTCTTTTTGATAATTGGAATCTTTTGATGGCAAAGCTTGATTATCGACCGAAGATTCTGTAGTTTCATTTTTTGTCTCATTTATTTTAGAGTCACTTTTTTCAACGCTGTCAGCTATGAAAGAATTTAGTCAATCTTCATAGTTGATATAGAATATAAGTTTAGCCAGCAATACCTTTTTCAGAAATTGACGGATCAAGTTCGGAGACCTTTGATTCCAAAGAGAGATCTCGTGCTTGCGACTGTTCATTTGGAGCCGTAAGTGTGGAGTGTTGTTTTTGTTCTGTAACTGACGCAGAATTAGTCGCATCAAAAGTTGTCAAATCCATTTTTCTTTTTCTTTTTTCAAGTTAGAAAGGATTTTGAAATATCAGTTATTCTATGCATATATATGATACTAATATGTCATCATCATTTTTATTGGTGCCCTGGATTTATTAAGGTTGTGATACATGGCATGTGCGCTTTCTTGATTCGTAGATTAGACCAAACCAAGTTTCTTATGTGCAACGGCGAAATAACATGCATAATCATGTGCCAAAATTCTCGAAGCGATTGTTTTACTGCAACTCCAACCATTGAAGTATAAGCTTTTTCTCAAGAATTTGATTTATATTGTGACAAGAACTACATCCTACACAGTAAAACATGTAAAATGGGTTGGTCTTATACATTTACAGCTCATTTTTTTGATTAAATTAGTAAATTTTGATTTTTTAATCTTAAATTATTATTTATTATTACACTCCGCTTTGCTTTGCTGGTTTTGATCTTAATTTTAACCATTGTTTGTATCTATTCTGAAGTGTCATCTTTTGGAAGAAATTCTAAGCACAAGTTTATAATCTCTATACCTGTGAAAAATTTATACCTGTACTATCTTTGTAAAAGCTCTTGTATTACAATTTGCCTATCTTGTATTTCTTCTGTCAGAGCATTTTCCAGTTATTTATTAAGTAGCTAATTCTGGCTTTTGTTTTATATTTCTTTACATGTTTTTGTGATACTGTTGCAAGAGAGAAAATGTTTCAGGGATTCTTCTTTTTGTTGACAATATAGGCACTTGATTAGGTTTGCATATTTTGTAAAAAATCTTTTGATTATGTTGTCCAGGATCAATAATTCATTGTGCATTAATTTTATTTAAAAAGCTTTTTCTCAAACTTGTTTGAGTAATATTGTTAAAAATTCTTTTATTTTGTTTGCTTTTCAAAGGTTTTTTCAATCAAAGTTTTTTTGGTTATTTATTTCTTTGGCCTATTTTTTCTATATTCAGTTTTGATTTGTCTATTTTGTTAAAATACTTTTCTTGTATATTTCTTTAACAAATTCTCTTATTCCTATATTGATGAGAACCTTATTTCAGTATAGTGTTGTTAAGGCTTCTTGCTAGTATTAACTGTTTCAACAAATCTCAGGTTCTTCTTTTACTGCTTTAATAAAAAAGTTCACTTTATTATTAGCCTCATTCTTATTATAAGCTTTTGCTTTAATTATTTGAATTGTGATTTGTTTATTGTATATTAGATCTATACATCTCATTCATAGTTGCCAATTCTTTCTTTTTCTGTTTTATTTTTCTATATCTTTAATATGAAAGTTTGGGAGTTTTTATAAAATATTAATACAGGTTATGCAATCTATTCAAATTTCTATTTAACTTTTTTGAGATATAATTAAAAATATTAGAATGATTGTAACAAGTTTTGCCCAAAGTGCTAATGGCCAGTTGTCTACTCTTGCTTGAAAGATTTTTTCTGAATTTGGTTCTTTAATTTGTAACCAAGCAGCTCTTATTTTTAATGTTTGGTTTCTTGCTTTTTCATATGATCCATTTATGTAAAAATAGTAAAATTGTCAAAAGTTGCTTTCTTTATTAATTTTGTATTCTTCTATCAGGGCTTGTATATAGTCTGGAGATTGGAAGTGTTCTTTGATTATTTGTATTCTCCAGTCTTCAATTTCAATTGCCATAATGTAATTGTCGATAGTCTTTTTTTTTTGGAATGTTTCAATTTTTTTTTGATAAAATTTTCCAAGACATGTATACTAATTAGAATTTTCAGTTCATTTGTTTTTTTAAAAGTTGAATATTGATTAATAATATTACATAATAGTGATCTGGTTTTTAATTTTTTGTTGCTATGAACATTTGTTCCATTTGTCAAATTTCTTGTTTCCTTGTTGATTTGGAATTGAATAGTACCTTTGTTTTTTTGAAGTTTAACTGTATCTGGTATGAATCCTATTTTTAGATTATAGACTTTTACTTGGAAAGCTTGATAGTCTGAATCTTCTTTACTTCTATATCAAATAATTTGTTCATTTTGTTCCTTTGAACTTGTAATTTTTTAATTCCATCGATATTAATTTTTGTTTGAATTAATTAAGAAAAATCTTCTGTCTTGCTCTTCCCAGTTCCAACTTTGCCATTTGTTATTTAGAACATTATTTTTATTTATCAAAATAAATTGAATTTTGTTAAACTATAATAGTATTGATTCTTTGCTGATGTTTAAAAAAATTTGAATAATTTTTTAGGATAGTACTGTTTTGATATTACTGTCAATTATTTGATCTACAAAAATTATATTATACTTTCTTAGCAATAGAATTGTTTTCTAATATAACATTATATTGTTAAGCATGTTTTTAATGGATAGTGAGCCTCCTTTCCAATCAAAACAATTTAATCATCAGAAATTGAATATTGTGATTTCTAAATTGTTGGCTATTTTTAGAACTTGGGCTAAAAAGTTCTTTGAATATCTGAATAATCAAAGAATGTTATTGATCAAAATATTGCTTAATTCTCAGTTTTGAACTTGAGCTTGTTTAAGACAAATTAATATAAATATACTGGCTGGATCCATATTACATAACCTATTTATAAAGTTGGAGATCTGATTTTTTGCTTGGATTTTCTTAATACTTTTAATGTTATAGATCTTCTTGTGATGAATAGTTAAGTTGAAAATTGTTAAGACCAATCCTATCAGTTTCTTTAGAATTATTCCTAACTATACTGTTAGATTGTTACACATATTCTAATTTAGGAAACAGTATTGTATTCAATATTCTATATGTGAAATAAGTATTCTATTTATAATATACTTTATATGCTTATTTGTTACTTTTTTCTTTTGAAGGCTTGATACTATTGCTGTGATTTCATGCTTGATTTAATAAATTGTATTTTTAGTATATTTTTGCTTCCTATTTATATTTCTAGAAATCTAGTAAAGCTGATGCAATTACTTTCAATTACTTCTTATTGGTTTACTCTAATTTTAATTACATTTAATCTTTTGTTATAATTGTTTATTATGATTAGTATCAATTTGTTGCCATTAATTTAAAAATCACTGACTGTATAGAATCACTTAATCTTTTTTAGAATGTTTCTCATATTTTTTTTGAATAATGTAGTATTATCCATATATGCTATAGTGTATATATATTGCTGAAATTCATAGATCCTTAATGCAATTGATGCAATTATTTAACACAATTAATTAAGTTACTATTAAAATATATAAATAATTGAGTTATAATGCAATTATTTTTGAGAATTTTTGGAATTGAGTCAATAACAAAATAATTTATGCCATATGTATACTATAGTGGCTTGCTAAATGGACAATTGTGTAAATTCATTCTTGCTATAATCAGTTTTTCATTTATATAGTAATTCATGAAATAATCCAATCTTGCATTGTTTTAAATTTTATATAATAAGATGTTATTAAAAGATGTGTCATAATAATAGAAAGATTGTTTTCTCTTGATCTATTCTATTTCCTGCTATTATTTTTTTTATTATTCCTACATCCATAATTATTTTTGATAATCTGTTAATAAAAAGGTTTAAAATGAGTGTTATAAGATTTTTTGGAATTTTGATTCTTTAAAGTACTTTCTGTAATATTTTTAAACTGATTGTGTCATATGTCTTGACCATATTTTGAAATAATATCTACAATTTCTTTTTTTTTTTTCTGATATCTTCACAAATATTATTTAACAAATAAATAGTTTCTGAAGTACTTTTTTCAAATAGTCTTGCAAAATTGAAACCCTTTAGAATATTATGTCTTTTGCATATAGTGAATAATCGATTAGTGATAATTTTGATAAAATACTTTCATAAGATATCTAAGAGGACTATAGATCTAGTGTTACTTAAATTGTCTTGTCATTCTTTTCATTTTGAAATAGAATAGAGTAAACTTTTCTTCTATGTTACTGAAGTTATATTGTAAGTTAAATATATATATTGTTATACTTGATTTTCACCCAAGATCATTACTACCCCTTGCCCGATTTTTATTAACATTTATCCTTGAAATGTTACCTATTCTAGAATAATTCTTGTATTACTATCCTTGTTATTGTTTAGCACTATACATGTGGTGTAAATTATTTTGCTGTTGACTCAATTCCCAAAATCCTCAAAAATAATTGTATCATGACTCAATTATTTATATGTTTT